CTGGGTTTGGGGGGCCCCCCCCGGCCCCCCAAAAGCCGCGGCTGCGGACCCACAGGGACATCTCACCCCCGCCGAAGCAAAGCCCGCAGCCGCTCAGGATTTCAGGCACAGGAGCAGCTGCGATACTGGAGGCTTAGTGCAGCTCTCCAAGAGATTTTGGAAGTGTGGACGAAGGCACAAACAGCCTGCAAAGCCCAGTGTGGCAGGCAGCCATGGAGCAACAGCACACGGCAGGGGAAAACTGCCCTGAAACCTCCTAATCCTGCTCCAGCACCGTAACCCCTCCGCCTCCTGCTGTGCATTGGAGTCTATTAGGATAACAGTTTAAGCAAATCTCTCTTACGGCACCCACCCTGCATGCCATGATGCATCTCCAAGCCAACGGTACTCACGGTCTCTGTATCTGACTCCTACCACGTCTTCTGCTTGCTCAGCGGAGCTCAGCAAGGTCAGAGGGTTGTGCTCTGTGGTTCTGCAGAAATTATGAGCTTGTAGATTAGGATCCAACTCATACAGATGACCTTCAAAAAAATATTCTTGATGGTGAGGGACTATATTTGTTTGTTTGAAGACAGCATCTAAAAACTTGGTGGTACTGAAATGAAAAAGAAACGAATGGAGGGGGAATAAGCAATGAGGCGAACACTCAGATTTCCATCGCTTTAACAGCCTGCCGCCCTTTTCTTGTAGCAAAATATCCCACAAGGTCAGCAGAGCTCCTCGGACAACCTCCTCGGGGCTCTCCGTGTGCCATGCCAGGAGCCGACAGCTCCCGGTTAGTGCACTCCCCAGCAAAGGCTGGCTTGAGCCTGGTTTGTTTTAGCCTGGTTTGTTTTAACCTGGTTTAACTGCAGTGCAAAGGGAACGGGTGCTCCCCCCAGGTTCATCTACTGAGGCTGAGGCTCCTGAGCTCAATTCCCAAATTCGCTCTTAACACGGCCTTGGCATCCTTACGTGTTGTAGGGGTGGATGTAGATGCGATGCGAGGAAGCCTGCTGCAGGGAGAAGACGTCGACCACGATCCTGTGCAAAATGTCATTGGTTTCTGCAAAAAACTGGTCGAATCCCCAGCATTTCTCCTGATCCGCCTCCAGGATGTTAGCCAAAATGGGTATCAGCTGGTCCTTCAGCCCCCTGCAGCAGCAGCAGAAGAGGTGTTTGCACAGACGGGCATAACCCTGAGCCATAAACGTGGTGACCCGTGGGGCCGGGGAGAGGTGCAGCCCCGCTCCTGTGGCTGAGCTCCTGTACCGACAGGGCCACTGCCCTGTCCTGCACCCCCTTTTCCCGGCTGTAAAGCAAAGACCTGGTCTGAGAGCTGCAACATTTGCAGATGAGAAGCTCGTCTGCCTCGTTAAAACCTCCCCCGCTGTCTGAGGTGGGATGCCCTCTCTAGCCGTGGTGCCAGGACAGGAGACCCCCAGCAGGAGCCGAGCCCGGCAAGGGACACTCACGCAGAGAGCCGGCAGGTGACGGGCAGCTCGTAGCTCCACTCGATGCTCCCGTTCTCCTGCCTCTGGACCCCCGTGATGGCTCCGGGAGGCTTCTCGGTGGTAATTTTATACCTGTTGAAAGGAAATTGCTCGCAGGTGAAACGAGCCAAGTGACCTCTGTTTGGGCACTACGTCCCTCAGGTTCAGCAAAGAGGGAAGGGGCAGAGCACGGGTGGGCTGGGAAAGATAGGATTCATAAAAAGAAAAAAAACACACAGGGGGAAAATACTTCAAGAAACAGTCAAAAAGTTTCAAGCAAACATGAACCCTGCCTCCTCTTCCAGCTGTTTAACCACAAAGTCACCAGGATGTATTTTGAGGGCAAACGTGGTAAATGGGGCACAGATCCTTTACCACGCTACACAGGCACACTCCCCATAGTGCAGAGAGCATGGAATCAGCCACGGGCTACATTTCAGGGCTTTCTAGGCTATATGGGATTAAGCGAGCAGTAAACTACAGCTCATAGTCACACAGTGCTGCTGGCATGCACCAAGGTTGTCCTGCAGCCCCCAGGGCCACCAGCCACGGTCCCACTTCCCCACGCAGCAGCACCCAGCCCTCCCACCTGGATGCGGTGCCTACATGATCTCCTTGTTCCTGCGAGGTCCCCCGAAGGGGACGAAGGGGAGGCTGCCGGTGGCAGCGTGGTAGAAGGTGACGCCGATGCTCCAGAGGTCGACGGTGACGCCGTACGCCTTCTGCTGCGGCTTGCGCAGGACCGCTCGCTCATACATGTCTGGGTGCTGCAGGGATGAAGCAGAGAGCAGCACTGCCAACGCGTCCAACGGGTTTGCAGCGGGCATCAAGCCTTGGGCGCTGGGATTGAAAACCGACTGCTCGCGTTGGCCTCTTCTACTGCTGGACCCTCCAAACAAAACATCACCTGTAACTCTACAACAAAAATGCTGAGCCCCCCCTCTTCGAAAAATGTGGCCCCTTTGAGGTTGGGCTCTCCAAGCCACTGCTGCTCTCTACAAGTTGCCCAGCCGTTGGATGGAGGGATGGGGACCAGCTTCCCCCAGAACTTCCAGGGGCCACCAGACTGGCGACACGCTGTACTCACGAGATACTCCTCCGTCCCGTAGACAGACACAAACTTTTCATCATCATCCAGCTCTCGGGCGGCCCCAAAATCCGTCAGCTTATAGATGCTCTGCCCATCCTCCCCCATCAGCCGCATGATGTTCCCGGGTTTGATGTCTCTGTGGACAACGCCGTTCTCGCGGAGGTGGTTCATCCCTGCCACTGGGCACAAGGGGGGAAGGCAGCGTTCGTGTGCGGGGCTGGAGCAGTTTGCTCCAGCGGGTTTTGTTTAAACGTAGGAACGTGAGAAGGGCCAGAGAGGGGACAAGCCCCAGGGCTGGTTGCACTTAAATGGGGACCGCTGTGACTGGGGGAATGGAGAGGATGAGCGAGCACACGGTAGGGCACTGCCCTCATGCTCCTTCATCGTGGGGCACAGCCTGTTCCCACAGCTGCTTCCCAGAGCAGGTCTGCAAGGAGAAACCCTCAGGCTACCCCCCCGAATGCAAAGCTCACAAACCCACCCCGTTCGGGGGTGCAATTTCTGACCGCTCACCCCAGCCCTCACGTCCATAGCCCAGGGTTGGTGCCCGCAGGGTCCCACCAGCACCGCGAGCTCCCCAGCCCGCAGCTTCTCAGCCCCAGGCTGTGCTCGCGATGGCAGGCAGCTGCCCGTCCCGGGCCGGGGGCACAGGGGGTCCCCGCACTCACCCACGCATTGCAGCACAATGAGGAACTCTGACTCGGCCAAGCCGAAGGCGTTCGCCGGGTCTTCCAGCACGTTCAGCAAGCTGCCGCTCGAGCAGTACTCCATCACCAGCACCTTCTGCTTGCTGCTGCCCTGCGGCGGGGGACAGCCATGAGGGCTCCGCCGGG